AAATATAAGGACCGTACATAAATAATGATACAATTTGAAAGGGACCGGGGCTAATCACAAATTACGTCCCCACGGTAACTGAAATAAACACGAGTGTTCACCGGTTGGTGTAACCACCGATGAACCAACGTGACAGCTCATACATGCTACTTTTAAATTTGTGCCCAAGACGCCATATTTAAAATACGTTAAACATTACCGACATCTACTCATACGATCGCGTCATACCATGAGCAAGGACACGAAACCACGTATAATTTATATTGCCTTGGTTTGCGTCTCACCTCGTTTGACAGATCTGATCGCCCGTTTGAAAGGTCGAATCGCTCGTTTGACAATTCGAATTGTGGACAAACGAAATGCTCCTGTGGCATGTCGGTTCGTCGGTGGTGTAACTTTAAAGCATACACTCAATGACGTTTCACCGTTGTTGTTTATGTTTACTACAGCTTTCTGTTTGTCATCATGTTTGCCTAGATTTTCGTTTTCGATAGCTCTGATCGTTTTCGACTTCGGCTTTTCATGATAAAAAACGGCACTGGACGTTCCCCCAGCAGCAAATCTCTCCAAGTTGTAGGCTCATGGCGAATCTAACGTAATACGATCACGGAACTATCACTCTGGGACTCCGTTTACAGGGGCGGCGTAGTCAGTCGATTCCCGTTCCATCGAAGGACAGCACATTGGTTCGCGGACGATGAGTAATTCGTGGACATTAATGACTATTACCAGGGAACGGAAGTGCACTGAAATCAGCTACCAAATAATGCCGCATTTTTGAGAACAAGGAGCGGATTTTGGTGGCAGTGGCCAGCAAGATCATCAAGGAATGACTGCCTCTCGTGAGAAAACCATTTTTGATTAAACGAATGTGAAATGTTAAAAAAAAACAACTGTCAGACTAAGAATAAGATTCGCAAATATCACACATATTAAAATATTTAATATTTTCACCATCGGTATTGATGCTGGTACTTGGAGCTGTCCTAGGTCAGATTATCAGCTTTAATAGCATGCTGTGGCTGTCAGTTGCGTACAATTATTTTCCCTGAAATGGCAATATTCCTATTTATAAGGTTTGTACAAGGGGTAATCAACTCTGCACACTGTGCCAAATCACAGCATGGCACACTATTCGGCACTTTAGGACAGACGTTGAAAAGTAGGATACAAACAATATAATATAAAAAGGCATCACTGTCGAGTGTTGACGTTTTGCCAATCGTTGCTAAGGTTGACTTCTTCATTTACTCTATTGAGCTTCAAATTGGGTTCGAGGATCGTATACCATGCCAGTTTTCCAAAACATTCAAAGGAGCAATTCTGTGAGTATTGTCTGCACCATGAATCTCTTATCTCTTCAAAACCAACAAAACTTAATTTATCTCATCCGACTCGTAGCGAAAATCCCAGCGGTTTGAGGTTTCGCCCAGAATAGCTTCTATTCGGGTCTCAAGCCAACAGAGTTCTTCCACACCACGGTTGGTCGAGAGGGTCGATATGTCAGTCAAGACGGCCAAAATGGGTTCCCTCCAGCGACGGTTGGTCAAATGCCTGTAAGATTGTCCAATACGACGGTTCGGTGCGAAATGTGATCGGCGAACTTAACGGCCAAAAATCCTCTGAACGACGCAAATATTGTGCCAGAAACGGAGGATTTTTGTTTTGTTATGTAGAACGAACGATAAAGAAAAATACTACATCATAAAGGGTTTGCATCCCGGTCTTGCCAGGGGTCTTCCAGGATGGAAATTTTCTAGCTATCCCCTGCGTTTTTCCTCAGGCATTCTTGGTTTCAATTGGTATGGAATTCGATGGGAAATGGTCAGGACTTTAAAGGGATGTCCATACAAGTCCCAGTACTGCTAAAGGATGTCGATTCGTTTTAACTCCAAATATTTCATCAGATCTGGTCAGATTGCGTTAGCGAAACAGTATAGGATTTGTAGGAACAGATCAATGCAATCAGAAATGCAATTACATTCTATTCCGTAAGTACACCCCATCATCAACGATCCAATCTGCACTCGTTCCGAAGTATAAGGAATATGAAGTTGCGGGACATTTGATGGTTTCCACTGGTGGTACATTAGCCATTGGTTTTGATTGGTGGTACATTGTGGAAGGTACCACAACCACCGACAAACCGACATGAATGACCATAGCTAAAACAATAGAATTTCTGACCAAAGCACACTACTGACATCTGGCTCCGAGTTCGCGGGAAATATTGAGCTAAGCTATGAACCCGCATCCAAAAGTTATGAATTGGTTCGTTTCTATTCTGGGCAAATTATTTTTATCTAGATCAAAAAATCGTATGGTTCTGACAGTTCGAATCACTGCACATTTAAATCGGCCGGTTACGATTTTCGGGCATAATACCCCGTTCACATTACAGTGTATATCACGTGATATACGCTGTCTTGCAATGAGCACTCATACATCTAGTTTTCACTGGAAATCCTATGTATGAGTGCTCAATGCAAGACAGCCTATATTACGTGATATAGACTGTAATGTGAACGGGGTATAAGTCTGAATTAAGTGTCATGTCGGTTTGTCGGTGCCACAACTGCAAAGGATCGTGAACTTGGCAGACTTGAACGTGTGTGATTGAGTGGTGGTAGGAGACATCATAATCAGCGATACGATGATGCCTTCGAGGTCACATCTGAGTCGATCAGATGAACTGTTTCGAGGATGTTGTTCCTAGGGTGGGATTGAACTTTCGCCCGTTGGAATTATGGGTTTGATTTTGTCGGGGAGCATTTCACTGGCATCTGGTGGAAATTTCGTCCTCCAGTGATCAGGCTAAACCTTCGTTTCTGCACACGTTCCTTGTGGACGGGTCGTATAGGTTGGATTGCTTCCAATTCCTCTTCCATCGCCCATTCCGCTCTCGTTCTAATGAGAATGAAGCTTAATGTTTGCCATAAACCATGGTCATGAATAAGGGAAATTGAAAATGTAAACACAATCACAACAGTCTAACTTCAGGGCTGCCATACTAATGGGATATTGACAACTTGATTGATACACTTCGGCCTACTTCGGAACGATCGGCACAACGCTTGACACAGCTTTCGGCACTGCTAAATTTCTTGGCACAGATTAAGTTGAATACTCCTTGGGTTTGTATTATGTGGACGCTGAATAATTTGATAATTCGATCGTTGCGTTGCTTTCAACAATTTCCTTATTTACAACTTGTCCCTAAGTTCATACCCTAAGTTACCTTCAATCGACAAACTTCCCCTTTTACGACCCAGATATTCACGCAGATATGTATATCATCAACAGTAACGAAAGGCAAACCGCAAATCAGTATGAAATTAGCACATGAACATCTACTTCATAAATTTTCCTAATTCAAACAACACATACACACAAACCTACGTCAACATCGACAAGCAGACATGCTTCCTTGAGAAAAATCCAACATTATGCGCAAAGTTGACTTCCTGAGTTGTTTATTTTCGTCAGTGAAAAAAGATTTCGAAACTTCCATAAGACATTAGACGAAATACACACGAAAGCAAACCATCAGCTGCTGATCTAAACTGTAAAAATCGTTTCCATCGATGATGCATTCTCATCTTAGACAGCATCAGAGCATTTTCCACCATTTGGTAGCAAAAGAAAGAAAACAAAAATTAGAAGCAATGCCTTAGAATGGTTCTGATTAGAACATTTCCTTTACGACGAATTAGCCTTTTTTCTAAATTGTTTCAAAAACACACAAAAACACACTTACAAAACCTAACCGATAGTCTCTAATCGGAAAAAAGCAGTAAACTTTTTATAACTAACGCAGTAATCTAATTACTAAATCCCTACATTAAAAAAAAAGCCGTGAGTATCTTGTAAATAGAACTGTATTATAAGCTTTAGAAAGAGAGAATTAACCTATTTGCTAATAAAAAAAGAAGATGAAACAAGTTTATCTGTAGAGAAAGTTTGGAAGCTCTTATTATTTTAACTCTAATGCAACTTTATCAACCAAGACAAAGTTCTGAATAATTACACGATAAACTTGCAGATACAGCGGGAGACTAAACGACCTACGAATCCGTGCTACGGAGAGAACACACCCAATGGTTATCGTTAAAATACAGGATTGCAACTATTATTATTATTATTACTTATAGTAGAAACCGAGTTCGAATAAACAGTAGCGAACTTCCTCTTCGAGGGGGTCGATCAGTGGAAAAGCGTTGAATTTGTTTAAATGATTTAGTGTAGAGACTTGAAGAACGCATGAAGTAAGGTAAATACTTTTGATGATTAGCAAGAGATGATAAAATATTACCGTATTTAATTTACCAAAAGTAAAAACACACACACACACAGGATTCCCAACAGACAGAGAGAGTATCTCAGTAGGTATAAACTAAAAAAAAAACAGAACGAAATGTGAATAATTACCTAAACCTAAAAAAAATGACAAAAAATAAAAAGATACCTTATCCGCCTCACTTGATGAATTGAACAGCTGTTGTTTCATTTGACCTGATTTGTTTTCGACCGGTGCCATTCGATGTCAAGGTTATGTTCTCCGTGAAAAGTTGGTCAAGTTCTAAGAGGAAGAGGAGACAACTGGCTGCTTTTTGTCTGTGACGTGTTCTTTTTCTCTCGCGGAAACGAATAGAAAATAAGATTCCCTGTATAGTACAAATTCTCGCGTTTCTATACGTTCGTCCAACCAATCAGGCACTGGTTCGTGTTTGACAGAAAATGGGTTCATAAAAGTCCCCCTATGGTGTCCTCTTCCTCTTAGGTCAAGTTCAACCCGAGCACGTGTTTGTCAAAGGAAAACACTTCACGCAACAGGTGGCCGCGGTTCGGTGGTCACCCGGGGCAACCGCGTTGACCAGGTTGCAAAATTGGACCGCTGTTTTCCGTTTGTAAACAAAGTGAAAATTTCTACAGCTTTCCAAACGTGTCTGCAGCTTTGGGCGGTCTGCAGTTTCGTCGGGATTTTACAGTGGAAAAGATGTGCAAAACTCACTGAACCGCGATGAGTCGACGGTTGGCCAAGTTGCACAAACCGTGCGCCAAGCTGGACAAGTACGACAATGAACCGTACATGCAGAATCCGCTGTTGAATCTGTTCCTCTCGGAGGTGAAGGAGCGACGCCATTATAGCTTCATCCAGCGCAAGGCTGCCGCGGTGAGTACCTGTGTCGGATTTCGGAAAGAAAAAGGGGCAAAAGGGGGACAATTGTTAAAAAATGTGTGAAAATAGTACATTAGAATGAAGTTCTGATTGAAATAAGTATGTACAAGCATGTTCAGTGTAGATTATCAAGACCAACTGTGAACCATCAGGTTTTGACAGATTGAGGTTATGGTTCACTGCTCGGTTCACTGACCTGCCTAGTAGTACTGTTGGTGTAAAATCGATCAATGATTTACGTCGTTTCCGGAGTGATTTGAGCGTAATTGCTTTTGTAAACAAACACGTCAATCGCCGATTTCTCGTCAATAAAAGCTCAATCTCGTAAACAAACTATACCAAATGATAGAGGAATCATGCCTCTACCTTATAGTGTTGTTAGTTTTTGAAATTGAGATTTTATTCACGAGAAACCGGCGATTGACGTGTTTGTTTACAAATGCAATTACGTCCAAATCTCATATCACTCCGGGTTTTCTTTTTTGCGGTGTAGCACCGGTGTAGTGTAATACCACAAACGAAGTGACAGGCGGAGCGGCTCGAAAACTTTGGTGACTAACCTGCTATTGCAATTTTTCAGTGTACCACATGGCAACACCACTACTACTGGATTGTACCACATGGCAACACTACTATTGGATTGAACTAGCATTTTTACCAAATGTACTAGAATATTTTGGTTCTATCTCTTTCACTCTACTCAAAACTGAAATGCATAAAAAAATTACAAAATGATACGCACTCTTTGCACATTGTCAAAGAATCATTGTACACAAAATCAACTTTGTTCAAATCAAAACAAAAAAACTAACCCATCTGCTGGATGATGGCACAAGCTTCCAAGAAAATTCTATTACAGTGAACCACATTATTTTAATGGATTTCTTCGCTAGTAAGTCGTCTGTCACTTCGTTTGTGGTAATACCCCGTTCAAATTACAGCATATATCACGTGATATACGCTGTCTTGCAATGAGCACTCATACATCTAGTTTTCACTGGAAATCCTATGTATGAATGCTCATTGCAAGACAGCCTATATTACGTGATATAGGCTGTAATGTGAACGGGGTATAAGCAGGATTAAGCGCGAGTCTTTGACAGCTCAACATCATTTCGACAGTGAGCATGGGTCTATACGCGATGATCGACTCTCTTCGTCGATTTTCTCTTTTGTTAATAACTCGCTAGATTTAACGTTTCTCGGTGCGTTTGCTGTTGCTTTTGATAGCCAAGACAACCTGTTACTACTCTGCATTGAACAAATTCTAGAAAATTGTTTCACTTAGCTGTAGCAATGCAAAGAGAAAATCGATGAAGAGAATCGATCATCTCGTATACGCCCTTATGCATGCTCACTGTCGATTTGTTTGTAAACAAAGGTGCATCCTATATCTACTCCCTAAATTATTTCGGTGTACGGCAGTGTAGCACCGGTTTAGCTGCACCTCTAAAACGAAAACGACATGTGAGTAAAGTTATAACCGGCTCTACTAACGCGAGAATTGTTGTTTATTAATTTATTTGATAAGGCTCAATCGAATTAACTTTACAGAGCCGAAGATTCTTGTTCATAATACAAATGAGCATGAGCATGAGCATGATTGACCGCCCACGGTTGCTACTCTGTTATTGCCAGACCAGCTGTAATTACACAGAGAACCAATAGACAATGCTTGGGACTAGCAATCATCCTCAATGTGTAAAAACTGGTGATCTCGAATTAGGCAATACCAGCGCCAGCCGCGCCTGAACGCAGGTCAAGAAAGGAATGGGTAGGAATGTGTTGACGTGACACTCGCTTTTATGGAAGCCGAGGAGTCCTCTGTACTTGCACGAGGAATCACAGGGATGTTGGGTAAGAGGGTTGGGTTAGCAGCAGGGTTCGTTTTGGTAAACGATAAGCTGAATTGATGTCGTAACGATCGTATAACGCGAAGGAGCTAGGGATTGACCCCACGGTCTTCTGCTCAGTAAGCAAAAACGTTTGCCTCTAGGCAGACGAGCTCCTTTTTAATCATTGACGAATCTTGAATGTGGATGGGCTTGAGATTAGGCTCATGATGTTCTGCTCAGTAAGCAAAAACGGTTGCTCTAAGGCCACCGAGCCTCTCATATCATATTATAGCGTTACTCAAGTTTTTATAACTATTCAAACACGGCACCGACGACAACGAAAAGGTTTACAAAATACACGATAAACAAGCGATCTTACCATGCATTTTTAATATGAAAGGATCTGGGACCGCGTTTTTTTCCTCAGTAAGCAAGCCACTACAACCGACGATCTTTGAAATCCTAAAACTAAAAGCTACGAAAGAGTACTTAGGCCTTCATTAAGATCCACTTTCACGCGACGTTCAATGTTTCGATTTTCTCTTTACGCATGGTTCAGGCAGTCATAACAAGCTATGACCGACGTGACGATTGTTTAAGACCTGATTAAACAAGCTATTCAAATGAAATTACGTTCTCGAATTTCACTTGGAATGTAATGAACAACAGAAATACGCGTTAATTCATATTTTCAGCGGTTGATGTTTAATTTTAAATATACTAACGGTACTGCCTACGACTACGACGGCGATTACGACAGCGACTACGACGGCACCTACGACAACGACAACAGAGAATTTGTAACTTACCATTTTTCTAGGATAAACACCTTTGCCCGGCACCTCCACTGGTTCTTCATGTCCGCTATCTGTCACTGTTTGCAAAATATCTAATAGCAATTACCTTTGTTGTAATACTTCCTGTATTGCCATGGTGATCTGGGAGGAGGTTCACATCTAGTGCTTTCCCCAGGAACCGTTCACGGCCACCAGCTACCGCCCGTCCAGTCTTGGGCGTATCCAGCGAGACATCCTTCAGCTTACTCACAATCTCCGTCACTCGATGCAAATCGCAGGCACACTTACGCCAGCTAAAAAAAACACTCCCGTGCAAAGAAACGGATCCAATAAACGTTACTCTTGCGAAAGCACACCCGTCGTCGTCGAACGGCAAAAAACGGTGGGCAATTTTGTGATACGGATTTCCAAAATCAAACGGGAATGCACGAATTTCACCACTCCCAACAATCGTTCGAAAACACTTATTTTTTTCAATAATAGTTGCGAGTGAATCAACATCATCACCGCGTAAATAAAATAAAATCAAATTTATCACTCGCGATGCCACAAATTTCTGGACCGGGAGAAAAATCAAACAACGCAGATAGCGTTAAATCTTCTGTTGCTTGCAAACATGATGAATCCAAGGGGTTGGTCACTCCGCACACCAATCTTGGGTCATCTTTTTTGTCAGTGTGCCGCAAGTATGCCAATTGTGCCGGTCATGTTTGTAAAATACCCATCCTGGCAACCCGGTATTTCTGACACCTTGAATGTTTTGGTTTGAAAACGCAAGGATTAATCGGATTGAGGCTGACGCGGGAAGTGGCGGGTGTGTGAACTTTCGGTGTTTTGTGATCCATAGGGTAATAAAAGTACTGTGTTTTAGTGTTTTATAATGCCCTCAAAGGCAGACCAGAAATCTAGCCTTTCGGCCGGAAAGAGTTGGTACCGGTGGGAAGCATTGTTATAGACCGACTATAGAGGGTGATGAATATACTTCTTTAGTTTGTATTTTGTGATTTGCCACATTATTTGATTAAGAGTACTAATGAGGTCTGATTAGCTGCCTCTTCCTCTTTAGTCCACTCTAGAACCTACATTTCGTATTTAGATCTATAAGTGAACTGCTGCACAGTGATGCCAAGGGTATCAACACACGCGCTTTTTTATTTACGTTGAAATGGTTGAGTAAAGGTACTAGGTGTCTTGTGAGAAGTTTCTCAGATTACAACACTTCTTCTTATAGTAAAAGAAAATTAAAGATTAATCCACTTAAAAGTGAGATGCACTTTTCAAATATTAATGATAGCAATTTGAAGTCTTCTGAAAAGATATGTAATTTGCTATTTCTAACATCTTTGTAGAACATGCCGGACATGTAGAAACATTATAGAAAAAGTTACAGATACAAAGCTGATTTTAACAATGTCTCCACAATATAACATGCTGAGATATAACAGTTATAAGAGCTAGAAAGTTATAGTCTTCAGCAAAGCTGTTCACAGTAATGTTTTCTACAGCTTTGCCGAACATAATTATTTTGTATCTTATCATATTAAAAAAATAAATTCTGCATCTCACTTTTAGGTGGATTAATCTTTAATTTTCTTTAACCATAAGAAAGAGTGTTGTAACTCGAGAAACTTCTAACAAAACACCTTTACTCAACCATTTCAGCGTAAATAAAAAAGCGCGTGTTTTGATACCCTTGGCACCACTGAGTTCCTCTGGTATTGACCACTTTGTCTAGCAGTTATGGCGTGACTTTCTATGAGTGATTACACAAAACTGGACCAACTTATTTCTATTTTTTCATGAAACGCACAAATATAAGCTACTTTTCTCGTGGTTCTAGAAGAAAAAGTCTCAAAATAATGTTCAATTTCAAAGTTCAAGTGGTAGTAAACGTCGTTTTAACTGCTCGAATGAAGTGGTTAATAAGAAAATGTTCCTGAACATACAGTCAAACAGCACGTAATGTTCTGAACAACTTCAATGACAGTTGTCCAGCAGTGCTCCCATTTTATTTACAACAATCTAATGCCTACGAGATTGTGCCGAAGGTATGTCGAAAATGTACCGATGGATGTGCCCAAGCTGTGTAGAATATAATTCCGGCACAATGTGCTGAGTGACTTACCCCTTGGATGAATCATGTTTTCTTTCTCGATTCTAAAACTTCTCGGAAAGCGAGAAAACCACCACTCACACACGTATAACCGTCCGGGAGGCAGAGTGCCAGCGCTAATCCGGCAAATGCAGCCGAAAATTATGAAAGCGAATGCACGCACAAAACAGAGAACACACTTAATACACAATCGTATTCAAAGGCGTTCGAAACTCGACTCCCCGATTCTTGTTCATAATACAAATCATGCCAAAACTATAGTCAAAAGGTACAACATAATAAACACTTTATCTTCCGCTATCCAATAACCCTCCTCTATCAGAACGGGAGCCGCTTCCAGTGGTTTCATTGTATGACAGTATCGCCAACGAGGGGAAGAGCGCTTCCATTGCAATGGACGCAAAATGTGGTCAGCACTCACACACTCATCACGAAACGGTTGCTTTCAGCTGGGTGATATGCCACCATGTTATTGAAAACATCATCTGAAACGTCACAATTCAAGTGTGAACTGCAAAAATGGCGTGACAGAATTGTCTTATTTTTTTTTCAAATTAAATTATTTTCCCTTTTATGCCATATAAATAGTTGACTTCGTGGTAGAAAATCAGAAAATAATGTTTTATGAGTTATAAGTTTATTTTTCACAAAATGTAAGCAAAAATATTCAGAATATCTAAAATATCCGAGGGGGGCGACACATCTAAATCTCAATTCTAGATGCTCCGAAAATCTCACACTAGCGAATGAATCTTCGAAAAAACTTCTATCATTTTTCGCATCTACTTGCATCGAGCATCATCTTTTGGCAGGAAATCGTCAGAATCGGTAATCAATCTTCTTTCTATTTAGTCAGCGTGTGCGCAGCTAACCACAGCAACTCAAAAACTTTCCTGCATCGCAGATAGAGTCGCCCCCTCGAAAATATCAGTCACGCCTATTTTGAAATTATGGCTTAAATCTTCTATTTGTTTACAAATTATGAGCTGTCATTGGGGCCCACAATTCGCGGGCCCGCAGCGATGTTAGCTCTTGTCAAGGCAAGGCAAACAAGATAGGGTTGCCACCTAGCTGGTTGCTTTCCAAAGTCGACGATGCATCGACCGAAAGAACTGCTGGTGCTGATGAAGAACAATGAGGAGGACCACACAATGGTTGCAATTATCGCGTGCCGTGTATGTAGGTCGTTTAGGATTGCCTGACGAAGAACAGCTAGTATGACCACTCGATGTTCGAATAGAAAGCAGTTGGCAGCTATTGAATATCTGTCTTCCGGAGCTTTTGAAACCTGCCTGTTCAAGATTCCGACCAAATTCCAATTCTCGAACGATTTTTCCAAGCTGAGAATCCGTCCATGTTTCACGTGCTATATTTTCGGCTCGCACTGCCAGTTGCTGTATTTGAAGAAGAGCAAACAGTTCGAATTCATCCTCGATATTTTCTCCCTCGGTATACATAAGGCGTTGACCTCGGATTGAGTTGTTCTATTCGGATTTGTTGTTCAGGTTGGTTGGCTTGTATAGACTTCTCTGATGTTTGTGAAATGCACAAGTATTAGTGCGAAACTTGGGGTAAGTCATTCAGCACAATGTGCCGAAAATAGATTCGGAACAGTTATCGGCACATTTCCGTATTATCAGTTTATAATTAAAATAAACTGGAAGCACTGCCTGGATTATTATTAACATCGGTTATTGATGTTGCGTGTACGTAAACAAACGTGGATCGAATTATTATCGTTAGATTTTTTTTGCTAGCAAACGGTATTTATTAATTAAAATGGATAATTCCAATAAAAATGTGGTAAGTAACTGACTAAAAATAGTTTCATGTTTATGTGTCTCCATCGGCTTAAGATTTTTTCTGAAGTAAGCTGGAGGAAGAGTTCGGTGCGATAAACTTCCACCTAAAAAATATCCTCACGATTCCAAATTTGTGTAGACAGTCTCTGGGGAGCTGACAAGCGACAACAATAAAATCATGGAGGAGGACATGCACGGTATGGCTGATTTCCTGAGAGAAGAAGCAAGCTTTCGCTGTCCTCCAAAATTCTCAAAATCCTCAAAAATTCTGAAAATCCTCCAAAATTCTCAAAATCTTCGCTAACCACTCGTTCTTCCACATTCGGATATGCCCAGAATGCCCATTCGCTCAAGGGGCTGTCCACATTTCCCGTAAACAATTATTGAGAGGTTTCCCTAATAAAAATTGTATGGTTAATTTGCTTAACGACGTGTTCTGGGTATCATCCAAACCATTTGTGGAATAGTTCAATGATTTGGGTTATCGTTCGTTTATGGTTGTTTTTTATTAGGGTTAAGACACTGATCGCTGTCAATGTGGTAGCCCCCTATTAAATTTAACGTTACCCCCGGCATGTTTTATCCTCTCCAACTCACTGATATTTTTCGGATTGTGATCGATCGAAAGTGTATCACACAATACAACTTATCATTCATTACCATAACGGTAACCGCCGTCGACCCGGCTATCCGATCATTCCTTGACGAGATTCAAGGCCGACGTTTTCCACCACAGGAGCGAATCTCGAAGCGAATTTGTACTTAGTAAATAAACAGCTGTCAGAATCACAGAAGCACTGTTGCCAGATATACCAGATCAATTTGTCCTTGACCACTCATACACTTCGAATACATAAAGGCACAAATCAGGGCACAAATATACTCGTTCGGCACAATACCGGCACAATGCGGCAAACTACACATTGATAACAGCGTTAATACAAAAGCAGCTGTGCCGAGTGACTGACCCCTTGGCACTAATACTTGTGCAATTCATAAATGATGGAGAAGTAACCGATGAATAAGCAACAAGCTGTAGCATATCATGATAATATGTAGTAACGAATAAATTTAGTTTTAATTCATCAATCACACCAAGCAGTCCTATTCATTCAATTGTCAGTACGTGAACGAACTTTTTACGACCTATCGACCAGCTATCGGAGGTCGGTTTCGAAGTCGACGATACTTGGCTGGCGAGTCTGCTGATGAAGGGTCTACCGAAGCAGTACGAACCAATGATCATGGGATTGGAGTCGTCGGGTATGAAGCTTACGGCGGACGTTGTCAAGGCGAAAATTTTGCAAGATGTGAAGATCAGCAAGAAGCCAAGCGAAGATGGAGCCTTCCACACAAAAACTGAACAGAAGAAACCTACCGATCCATCGAGCGTGAAGTGCTTTCGGTGCAAGAAGTTGGGACACTATGCGTCGCAATGCCAGAATAAAGCCAGTGAAAGGAAGGAAACCCGTGGGAAACATAGTGGCCATGCTGCATCATCGCGGCGTTTAATACGGTACAGTCGACCAAGGACGATGTTGACTGGATTTTTGATTCCGGAGCTACAACACATCTGTGCCGAAACAAGGACTATCTGAAGGCTGCAGAGGATGTGTCAGCAAGCCTCAACGTTGCGAATGGCACTGCAGCTGCTGTTGTTGCCAAGGGCGCCGTCAATTTGGAAGCCGACATTGGATGTACGTCTTGTGAAATCACCATTAGTAATGTTCTGTGCGTTCTAGATTTGGCGTTAAATTTGTTATCCGTTAGCAAGATGATCCAGAACGGGTATCAGGTCATGTTCGACAAAGACTCTTGTAAAGTTGTCAGCACTACAAACGAAGTTGTGGCGATCGGACAGCATTCGGATGGATTCTACAAATTGGCGTTGGCTAAAAGTTCATCAGTTCACTTGGCTCAAGGGCAGAACAGCTTCCAGCTATAGCATCAACTGATGGGGCACCTATCGGCTGGCTGCATGAGGAGACTCAGAAGCATGGTAACTGGAATGGAGTTTGAGGATACAAATTTCTTTCAATGTGTGCCGTGTATCCAAGGCAAGCACCAACGACAGCCGCTTAAGGCGAAGGGACACAGGACTGAACGTTTGCTTGAGCTGATTAATTCTGATCTCTGTGGGCCTATGGAGACAACGTCGATAGGAGGACGTCGATATTTCCTAACGTTTATGGACGATGCTAGCAGGAAGGCGTTCGTCTAATTTCTGAAATCAAAAGCTGGCTACCAAGCCTTTGGGATTTTCCTTATTAGAGAGTTGAATAGATTTTTCTCCTTTAGTTTACTTAAATCTTTGGTTTTTATTAGTTAGGTAGGTTCCGATTCAACACATTGTACTTTCATTTTTATACCTGTGATCTTGACTTTTATACCTAGGGGATGAGTACCTAAGGGGGTTAGATTTTGATAAGTTCTTTAGTGGGAATGACACTGATGAAAACTGCGCATTGTAGTCGAAATACGTATCTGTCATGGATAAAAAAAATTAATTAAATTGAAGATAACCTTTTTTGCTGTTTTATTTAAGCATTCCGCTAACAACCCAATTTCATTACTTCATCAGGTCCAATCAGTTGTTCTAGAACATCATCGAAGATTTCTTCGCAGTTGCCTAAGAAAATTTGTATTTGAAATATTCGGGATGGAGTCTTCAGATAACTAAATTTGATCCTTAGTTGAATTCAGACTATTTAAGTAGATCTAATCGCACCAGACCAAATCTGAAATGCTAATTTTTTACCAATTCGTAAAAATTGCAAAAATCACAAAAGTCACGGTGGATTCGGTGGTTCCTTCATTTTCCTATGTATCGTACTCTCACTCCAACAGGTTATCTTTTTTAAACACTTCCATCAATTGCCACCTCACGAACATTTCAGGAAAAGGTGAAAATCTGCCGCCGCAAGACCGAGGATCTGGACGATGTCATTCCAAAGCCCGAATCGTACTATGCCGATCAGCTCCGGGAGCACGCCAAACGTGCTCCGGTTCCCAAGATGCTCTCCAGAACCGAGGAGAAAATCCTATCCTATGTGCCGAAACGCCTCCGGCAGCAGTACCCTACCGTCCTGGCGTCCTACATGGCAGACGTGCATGAAGATTTCGACAAAGTTATGAAAGCCTTCAGCTGCCAGAAGATCTTCAAGCCGGCACCCGATGACTATGTTCCACCGAGGGAAAAGTTCGAATTCAAGCGTCTCGGACGTACGGCAAATTACAAACATTTTCTCAAGCACAAGGCCGCTATCCAGAAGAACCTGCTGATTCCGCATCCGTTCATACGATGTATTATTCACTACTCCTATACTGACCTTCCACCGGTGCTGAACGACTACACCAAGTATAGGATGGAAGAGGAAATAACCTTGAATGAGCTTCGCGACATGGCCAAGAAGGAACTCCAGGGCTGCAACAATTTCATCGCCCAGGAATGGTATCCGAAGATCACTCGGATATTGAAGAAACACTATGATCGTCGAACGCTTCCGAAGTCCATGTGGCTGAAAGTCATCAACTGCGCATCGGGCCTGATCAATCGTCAACTGACCGAGCTGAAGCTGCGAACCATCGAGCACCTCCGCCTGACCGTACTCAATGTTCATAAAATTCCACAGATGAAGATCATCGCCATATGTGACGACGGGATGGTGGATCTGTTTCCAAGCCTGAACGATATCTACAGCGTGTATCAGAATGCGATCGAGGACATTGCTACCGTGGGTTCACGCTTGGATCCACTGGAGAACATGATCGATGCTCAGGCATTTGTGACCAAGGTCAATTTTATGAAGATTGGCATCGGTGAGATTTCGCTCCGGGAAGCTCACGACGCACTGCAATTGGCTCTGGAAGAGACCTTCGAACCATTGACTGCCTATTTGAAGGACTTCCAGGAGCAGTTTGTCGGGTTAATCAGCCGGGAGACCCGGGACGAGCTGAATGAGTTTCTGAGTGAGCCGCGTTCGTTCGAGGAGTATCTGGAGAAGATTGATCAGTTCCAGGTGTATAACGACAAGATCAAGAACATGGTGATGAAGGAGTACTTCTATGTGGCCATCGTGAATCAATCGGATGCGATCGGTAGCGTAAGGAAGATGGTGCGGGAATATATAGAGCGTATTGCGTCGAACATTGCGGTGGAACATAGGAAAGAGAGCCAACGGATCTGCAGGGAGTTTGAGGAGATTAAGGATAGGGCATTGGAGATACCGTCTTCGACGGAACAGCTGATGGCCAACGGGGAGTATATGAACCGAGCCAAGACGGAGGTAATCGAGGAGCTGAGAGAGAAGATCCAAGAGTCAATGCGGGTGAGACTTTGATGTTTTGATGATGAGGTTTAGGTTTAATTAAGTTTATTTCAGATTGGTGCTTACTTGGTGGAGTTGCTGGAATTGCCACCCGATCACATGGACGTCCAGGTGGAGAGCATCAACTGGTACTTCCGAATTCAGGCTGTTTTCGATATCAATTCGACAAACTTTGAGACCTACAAGTTTCAATTTGAAGAGAAGCTACAGGAAGTGACCAAGCAGCTGAACGAAAAGATGGAGGAGATGATTCCAAACATCGCGATCATAAACGATATGACGGAAACTGAAAAGTTCAGGGACTACGTAATGCTGTTGCAGGGTTACATCGATCAGATCTTCGTCTTTGAGGACTATGTCAAGTGGATCAACAAGGAGGAGGTGTTGTTCAAGTTTCCCAAGTCACAGTACGCGGTGCTGGAAGCGATCAAGACGTTCATTGTGCCATTCTACAAATTAATTAGGTAATTGTGACTTGAATATCTGGCTTCCTATTCTGTACCCAATTGCATTTCTAGGTTATGCATGCGTTGGCTTCGATACTACAACGTCTGGATGGACGGTCCTTTCGAATATCTGGAGCCACACTTTGTGGAATCGAAAACGGAGGAATTCCTCAAGGAGTTCCAGAGGACTCAGAAGTACTATCGAAATCGCATCAAAGCAGATATGTTGGAGAATACGCTCTGCAAATTTAAGGTAAGTTTTCGTGTTTTCTTTTTGAAAAATTCCTCCGACTGACAGTCCACTATTAGGGTCAAACGGAAGATCCGGATCCGGAGAAACATCCGTGCCCTTTGAAGCTTTGCGCCCGGATGACACAGTCTATCAAAGACTTCCACCTGGGAGTCTACATCGTCAACATTATGTGTAATCCGGCGCTAAAGGATCGTCACTGGGACGAGATGTCGGAAATTGCCGGTTTCGATTTGACCCCGGACGCTGGAACTACGCTGCGGAAGATCATCAACCACAAGTTGGACAAGGATCTGGACAAGTTTGAAATCATCAGTATCGGAGCCAACAAGGAACTGCAGCTGCAGAAGAACCTGGTGGCAATGATAAAAGAGTGGGAGACGATCGAGTTCAAGCTGAATCCTTTCAAGGACACGAACATCAACATTCTGTCCGGGTTGGATGAGATCCAAGCGGTGTTGGATGATCACATTATTAAGACGCTGGCCATGCGAGGTTCAGCGTTTGTGAAGCCATGTGAGAAGGAGGTCAAGGAGTGGTACAAGACGTTGACCAGAGTCAACAAGACTATTGAACAATGGGGAAAGGTACAGGGTACTTGGTTGTATCTGCTGCCGATCTTTTCGTCGGCGGATATCGTAGCGCAGATGCCGAACGAGGGAAGGATGTTCCAACAAGTCGATAAAACCTACCGAATGTATATGAAAGCCGTCGAAGGGAATCGATCGGTCATGAATGTGGCAGCAGCTAAAGGAGTTCAGGAAGCGCTGGAGCAGTCCAATGAAATGATGGAAGAGATCACCAACGGAGTCAATGAATATCTGGAGAAGAAACGTTTATATTTCCCAAGATTCTTCTTCCTGTCCAACGATGAAATGTTGGAGATCTTATCGGAAACGAAAGATCCACTAAGAGTTCAACCGCATTTGAGTAAGTGCTTCGAAGGTGTTAATCGGCTGGAGTTTGATCAGGCCTTGGATATTCGTTCAATGTTCAGTATCGAGAAGGAAAATGTCCATTTCGTAGAGAAGGTATCGACTGCGGAAGCTCGTGGCAGTGTGGAAAAGTGGTTACTTCGTGTGGAGGAGGAGATGTTGAGGGCCGTTTTACATCAGATCAACGGAAGTTACGAATCGTATAAAGAGAAACCACGTCACGATTGGGTACTGGATTGGCCAGGCATGGTAGTGCTTTGCGTGTCGCAGATCTACTGGGCAGCGAATATACACGCATGCTTAGGAAGGAGGCTAGAAGCTATCGTTGAATACCATGATCAGCTTCAGCAAGAGCTGATGGATGTTGTAATGTTGATCCGTTCTAAAGAGATCACCAACTTGGATCGCATTACAATCAAGGCCTTGATCGTTATCGATGTCCACGCGAAAGATGTCGTAGATGATCTGATCAAGCAGCAAATCCACACGGAAAATGACTTCCAGTGGTTGGCACAATTGCGCTACTATTGGAGCCAGGACGAAGTGACAGTTAAGATTATCAATGCATCGGTGCGGTACGCTTGTGAATATTTAGGAAACTCAGATCGATTAGTTATAACTCCCCTGACCGATCGCTGCTACCGAACGTTAATGGGAGCGTATCAACTGCATCTGAATGGGGCTCCTGAGGGTCCAGCTGGAACGGGTAAAACAGAAACGACCAAGGATTTGGCGAAGGCTTTGGCCGTTCAGTGTAAGGTGTTCAACTGTTCCGATGGACTGGACTACAAGGCTATGGGCAAGTTCTTCAAAGGCCTGGCGTCTTCTGGAGCATGGGCTTGTTTTGACGAATTTAACAGAATTGAGCTGGAAGTCTTGTCGGTCGTCGCTCAACAGATCTTGTGTATCATCGTGGCTGTCCGAGCCGGAGTGCAGAAGTTTATCTTCGAAGGAACGGAACTGAATCTAAATCCTGCATGCTACGTCTGCATTACAATGAATCCAGGCTATGCCGGTCGGTCGGAGCTTCCGGACAACCTGAAGGTGCTCTTCCGTACCGTAGCAATGATGGTGCCAGACTACGCCATGATTGGAGAGATTTCCTTGTACTCCTTTGGATTTACCAATGCACGATCCCTAGCGGTGAAGATCGTCACAACCTACCGGCTCTGCTCGGAACAACTGTCATCACAGAATCACTACGACTACGGAATGCGAGCCGTCAAGACTGTACTGCAAGCTTGCGGAAATCTCAAAAAGGCCTTTCCAGATGAGGACGAGGAAATACTACTTCTTAGATCCCTGTTGGACGTAAATCTACCAAAGTTTCTGAGAAAAGACGTCCCGCTTTTCGAAGGGATCATCTCCGATCTGTTTCCGGGAGTGGCGCTTCCCCAAGCAGACTACACGCTGCTGACCCACGCATTCAACGATGTCTGCAAGGATATGAAACTGCAACCTAAGGATACCTTCCTCACCAAGGTGATTCAAACGTACGAGATGATCATCGTACGTCACGGGTTCATGCTGGTGGGACAGCCATATTCCGGAAAGTCGATGACCCTGAAAGTTCTCGCCGAGTGTTTGACAAAGTTGAAGGGAAAAAGTGACAATCCGTACTTCCATCGAGTGCGCTATGAAGTGGTGAACCCCAAAGCGATTACCATGGGTCAGTTATACGGAGCATTCGATCCTATTTCATATGAGTGGACCGACGGAATTGCTTCGACTATTTTCCGAGGATTCGCTAGTGATACAAAGTCCGATCGAAAGTGGCTGATCTTCGATGGACCGGTCGATGCTGTATGGATTGAGAACATGAATACGGTTCTGGACGACAATAAGAAGTTGTGTTTGACTTCCGGGGAGGTCATTACGATGACTGGGGAGATGTCTATGATATTTGAGGTTATGGATCTGGAGCAGGCATCCCCGGCAACGGTCTCCCGCTGCGGAATGATCTTTATGGAACCGACACTGATTGGATGGGAGGCTTTTGTGAAGTCGTGGATTCAGCGCTGTAACAAGCAGTGGACAGCGGATTGGGAGGATTTGCTGTTGGAGATCTTCCGTTGGGTGGTTACGGACTGTTTGACATTTATTAGAAGGCAGTGCAGACAGTATCTCCACCCGGGAGATATCAATTTGTTGACATGCACGATGAACATCTTCCAAATGGTGATCGACGAAGCGGTTCACGAGAGTCCGGATGAGTACGGGAAGTATCTCTTCACATGGTTCCAGGCAGCGTTGATGTATTCGGTCGTTTGGGGATTGGCAGGTATTTTGGATATGGAGTCAAAGGTGAAGTTTGATGAGTTTTATCGAGAGGTGAGGTATTAGGTTTTGGGTTAGGATTGTTGAATACAATTGATCGTTTCAGATTTGGAAGGGTACTGACGAGAACCATCCAGTTCCGGATGCTTTGGGGAAGATCGATGTGTCGATGCCAGGCGAGGGCATGATCATGGACTATGTGTACTATTTCAAACAGAAGGGGAACTGGCGTTATTATCCGGATATGGTACGGCAGATGAAGAACGAAGTTGGGATCACCCTCCTGGTTCCTACACTGGATTCCGTGCGTTACATGCACATCTTGGACATTCACGTGAAGGTATTACATATTGCAAAGAAGTGTCTTATAATTTCTGGAATAACTTTACCCGTATTTTCAGAACAAGAAACCGCTTCTCTTGGTAGGGCCAACCGGCACGGGAAAGACCTACTACTTTCAGAACTATCTAATGAGCAAAATGGACCAGACGACCTTCCTGCCTACTCTCATAACCTTCACGTCCCAGATTACAGCGAACCAAACACAAGACCTGATAATATCCAAGTTGCTTAAGAAGAAGCGTAGTCACTACGGACCTCCGGATAACAAGACTTCCGTCCTGTTCATCGACGATATGAACATGCCGGCCAAGGAGATCTACGGAGCTCAACCACCGATCGAATTAATCCGTCAATACTTTGACTACAGCCATTGGTATGACCTGAAGGATGCCTCCAAGTTGCATCTGCAGAAGATCCTCATTATGGCTGCCTGCGGTCTACCGGGTGGAAGCCGTCAGAACGTCTACGAACGATTCCTGTGTCACTTTGACATCTTTTCCATCAGCAACTTCAACGATGAGACCATGTTCAAGATCTTCAGCAACGTGCTGCTGGATGGCTACAAACGGGGAGGTCACGCCACGGATGTTACAACGATGGTCAATATGATCGTGACCGCAACGCTGGATGCGTATCAGTTTGCGTGTGCGAAGCTGCTTCCAACTCCGGCCAAGTCACATTACATCTTCAACTTGAGGGACGTTTCACGAGTCATTAGCGGTTGCTCCATGCTGAAGCGAGAATCGGTGGAGAGTAAGAAGGTTTTTCCGCGCCTGTGGATGCACGAAGCCATGCGAGTATTCTACGATCGACTGGTTAACGATGCAGATCGATTGTTCGTGTTCGACAAACTGAATCAGAACTTGAAGAGCTTCTTCAAGGAACGTCCGGAGATACTGCTACCGGATTTCTTCGACGAGCAGACTGGTGCCGTTCAGCTTGGTAATTTGAATAACTTGATGTTTGGAAGTTACTTTGATGCGGATGCCGAACCGGAAGATCGCAAGTATGAGGAAACTCAGCAGGTGGAACAATTCAAAGATTTGGCCAATCGGGATCTTGTGGAGTACAACAGTACGCACAAAGCAAAGATGGATATCGTGCTATTTCAGTATGCTCTGCAGCACCTGAACAAGATTTGTCGGGTTATGTCCATGCCGGGAGGAAGCTGTATGCTGGTCGGTATGGGTGGCTCCGGGCGGCAGTCCTTGACGAAGTTGGCCGCTCAAATGTGCGGACAGTCACTGTTTCAACCGGAGATTACTAAGTACTACGGGCTAAACGAATGGAGAGAGGATTTGAAGAAGGTGTTAAAGGAAGCCGGAGGAATGGGCCGTGATACTGTATTCTTGTTGACGGAAGCTCAACTTAAGGAGGAGATCTTCCTTCAGGATATTGATTGCCTTTTAAACATCGGAGAAGTTCCTAACATATTCCCGGTTGACGAGAAGCAGGAAATTCTGGAAATGGTTCGGCTAGCCGCTCAAGGTGGTAATCGAAACCTGGACATCAGTCCACTGGAGGTGTTCCAGTTCTTTGTTAATCGTTGTAAACAGAAACTGCACATAGTCATCTGTTTCAGCCCGATTGGATCTGCCTTGAGAACCCGTATTCGTCTATATCCATCCTTGGTGAACTGCTGCACCATCAATTGGTTCGACGCATGGCCGGAAGACGCACTGGAGAAGGTCGCAGAAATGTACATGAAGGAATTGAACGTTGCCTCCTCGGTGAAGGAATCGATTGTGGTGACCTGCAAACATTTCCACGTAGTGGCACGAGAAGTCTCTACAGAGTTCACCACAGCCACTAGTCGAGTCACCTACATCACATCTGCTTCCTACTTGGAGTTGATCAAGTGCTTCCGTAACCTTACCAAGAAGCACCAATCAGAGATCATGCAGAATAAGATGCGCTACCTTGGGGGTTTGGAGAAGTTGGACGCTGCAGCCGATGCCGTGTCGACGATGCAAAAGGAGCTCAACGCTCTACAACCGACGCTGATCGTGATGGCTGAGCAGTCTCGGAAGATGACCGAGGAGATTGAAAAGGAATCCATCGAAGCAGCTGCCGCTACGGAGCAGGTCAAGAAGGATGAAGTAGTGGCAAACGTCCAAGCTGCCGAAGCGCAAGTATTGAAGGCAGATTGCGAAAAAGATCTTGCTGGAGCGATTCCAATTTTGGAAGAAGCGATCCAAGCGCTAAATACTTTGAAACCAAACGACATAACGCTGGTGAAATCAATGAAGAATCCCCCCGAAGTGGTCAAACTGGTTATGGCAGCAATTTGCGTCATGAAGGGCATCACACCGGATAAGGTCACGGATCAGGCAACCGGGAAGAAGATGCTGGACTTTTGGGGCCCCAGTAAGCGATTGCTGGGCGATATGGGTTTCCTTCAGACACTGAAGGACTATGACAAAGACACCATCAATCCGGATATTATGAAGAAAATTCGAAAGGACTTTATCCCTCACAAGGACTTCCAGCCTCACATCGTAGCGAAGGCATCCAGTGCGGCGGAGGGTCTGTGCAAGTGGATCATTGCGATGGATTTGTATGATGCCGTGGCAAAGATTGTGGCTCCGAAGAAGGAAAAGCTGCGACTAGCGGAGAAGGAATACGCGGAGACGATGGCGTTGCTTAACGAGAAGCGACTACTGGCGGCTAATTTGGAGAGGAAAGTAGCCGAGTTGAATGATAACTTGGAAGAAGCGAATCGAAAGAAGCAGGAAGTGGAGGACGAGGTTCAGATGTGCAAAGATAAGTTGCAACGAGCGGAGACATTGATTGGAGGCCTTGGAGGAGAGAAAACTCGATGGACGGTTTCAGCAGAGAGATTGCAACAGTTGTACGACAACTTAGCTGGAGACATTTTGGTATCTAGCGGCGTGATTGCCTACCTAGCTCCACTGACGGCGACGTACCGAAATAAGTGCATTGAAAATTGGCATGCGTTTGTCATGGAGATAGGGATTCCTTGCTCGGAAAAGTATAGCGTGGTGGATGTATTGGGGTCGATGATCAAGATCCAGAACTGGAACATTTCCGGTTTGCCGACCGATGCGTTTTCTGTGGAAAACGGGATCATCATGGACAGTTCCAGCAGGTACAGCTTATTCATCGATCCGCAGTTTCAAGCGAACAAATGGATTAGAAACATGGAAAGGAATAACCATCTGCAGATCTTGAAGTTTTCGCAGGCGGACTACATGAAGCGGTTGGAGTCCTGCATCGAGCACGGTTATCCGGTGTTGATCGAGAACATCTTCGACGAATTGGAAGCACCTTTGGATCCACTGCTGAATAGGAATACCTTCGTTCAGGGAGGCGTCGAATATCTCAGCTTGGGAGACAACGTTATTCCAATTTCAGCGAAATTTCGACTGTATTTGACATCGGGGTTGCGAAATCCTCACTATCTACCAGAAGTATTCAACAAAGTGACGATCATCAACTTTGCGCTGACCATCAAGGGTTTGGAAGACCAACTTCTCGGGATCGTGGTTGCCAAGGAACGTCCGGACCTCCAAGAACTACGCCAGAATCTGATCCTACAAGGTGCAAAGAACATAGCTATGCTAAAGGAGGTTGAGGACAAGATTTTGAAGACGCTGTCTGAGAGCAAGGGAGACATTTTGGAGGATGAGAGTGCCATCAAGATTTTGGATGACTCAAAGCGTATTTCGATCGATATTGTCAAGAAGCAGGAGGACTCAAAAGAAATCGAAGCCAAGATTGAAGCGTTCCGTCAGAGCTATCGTCCTGTCGCCGCACACTCTTCTACGCTGTATTACTGTATCACAGAGCTACCGAACATCGATCCAATGTATCAATTTTCGTTGTTGTGGTTCATAAATCTGTACATTTACTCGATCGAGAATGCCAACAGGACTAAGGATCTTCTCCGGCGATTGAAATTTCTGATGGATGCTGTCACCTTGAACCTGTACAACAATGTCTGCAGATCGCTATTCGAGAAGGATAAATTACTATTCTCATTCGTGTTGACTACGAAAATTATGATCTCCTGTAATCAGATCGACACGAAGGAGTTTGAATTTCTTTTGCTCGGAGGAGAGAAAAGTACCATCGATCTACCAATTCCGGATCCCAGCTGGATAACTGATAAACTCTGGGAGGACATCCGTCGCTTAGAACAACTGCCGGAGTTTACCGGATTCGTGGAAAGCTTCCGTGAGCACAAGGACTCCTGGAAACGTTACTACGATGTGGAAGACACTCACGTGGAAAAACTTCCCACTCCTTGGCAGGAGAAGACCAACCGCTTCGAGAAGCTTATAGCTCTACGCACGTTCCGACCCGACAAGGTCGTTCTAGCAATCACCGAATTCGTAGCGTCAGAGATGGGTCCAGCTTACGTACTCCCACCCCCATTTGATATTTCCAGGTCCTTCGAGGACTCCAATTGCCTAACACCATTGATCTTCATCCTATCGCCGGGTGCAGACCCAATGAACGCCTTGCTACTATTCGCCGAAAAAATGGGGTTCGATGAAACCTTCCAAGCGATCTCGCTAGGTCAAGGACAGGGCCCGATTGCCCAAAAAATCATCGAACGAGCTCAAGAAGAAGGCACCTGGGTGTGCCTTCAGAATTGTCATCTAGCCGCTTCCTGGATGCCAACGCTGGAATACCTTTGGGAAAATATGGATCTCTTCAACACCACGTCCTCTTTCCGTCTGTGGCTGACGAGCTATCCTTCGGAACAATTCCCATCCAGTATTCTACAGAACGGAATCAAAATGACCAACGAACCACCCACGGGTCTCCAGCAAAATCTGCTACGATCGTACAAATCTGAACCCATGAACGACGACGCCTTCTACACCGGCTGTGCTGGAAAAGACCGCTCATTCTCCAAGCTTCTCTATGGAATCTGTTTCTTCCACGCGGTCGTCCAAGAACGCCGGAAATTCGGTCCCCTCGGATGGAATATCTCCTACGGTTTCAACGAATCCGACTTCCAAATCTCCGTCCTTCAACTGCAAATTTTCCTTAACCAGTATGAGGACATTCCTTACATGGCGATCTCCTATCTAACCGGAGAATGTAACTATGGAGGACGCGTTACTGACGCCTGGGATCGACGTGCAATCGTAACCATCTTGGCGGACTACGTCAACGACCGAGTCGTAAATGATCCAAACTACCGCTTCTCCAACCAAGGCGATTGCTATGGGGTTCCACTGAGAAACGAACATCGGGAGTACGTTGCCCATATCAAGAATAACGTTCCAAACTATCCCAGTCCAGCCGTGTACGGATTGCATCCGAATGCGGGCATTACGAGGGATCTGAATGCTTCCAAAGTGCTGCTCGAGTCGATGATGATGACTCTAGGAGGATCGTCGGAAATGAGCGATGCCGATAAGGAGAAGAACATTTTGGTGGTTATTGAAGGGATTCAGAGTCGGTTACCGGCGGATTTCGATATTGAGCTGGCTAAGGCGAAATACCCGGTGGATTATAGCGAATCGATGAATACGGTGCTGGTACAGGAGATGGAACGGTTCAACAATCTACTGCAGGAGATCCGAAGCAGTTGCGTTAATCTGAAGAAGGGTATCGCGGGATTGGTTGTGCTGACACCGGAGTTGGAATCGGTTTATAGTGCCATTAACTTTAAGAAGATCCCGGACAGTTGGATGAAGAAGTCGTATCCGAGCTTGAAACCGATCGGAGCGTATGTAAACGACTTTTTGGAACGTTTGGCTTTCTTGGAGACGTGGTATCAGACGGGAAAACCGAATGTGTTCTGGATATCTGGGTTCTACTTTACGCAGGCTTTCCTGACGGCGGCGATGCAGAACTACGCACGGAAGTACAGTATTCCAATTGACGTTCTGACGTTCGATTTTGATGTATTGAAAGCGACGACGTGTGTTTTGAATTTCGGTTTAAATATTATCAAAGATTACTTTATATTCTCGTATTGTAGGGTTAATTCTGCTCCGGAGGATGGCATCTATATTGAAGGGCTATTTTTAGAAGGAGCTAAATGGAATCTTAGGGGAAGTTACCTCGAGGAACAGCTACCAAAAATGCTGATTGATGTGATGCCGATCATTCATATTATGGTAAGTTCCTTGAGATCTATTTAAACAAAGTGAAACCCGTTTCAAAGGAAAATTAGACGTTCGAAAGGATGTAAGGGGCTACAGAGTTGGAAGGAAATGCTATACTCAATTAGCTAGAGAAAGTTCTGAAGAGGATAGGTTAATAGTTCCGCTAGAGTACGGCAGTGTGAAAATTGAATAGAAGTTGAAGTTGAGCGAAGGGCCTTTAATGCGACAGTACTAGTCAAATGCACACTCCTTTACCTAGATCATGAATTAATGGATGAGGGGACCTCAATTTCCTCAAATCCACAAGAAAAGGGTGTGCGTTTGACTTGCTCATATACTGCCTGTGGCTGTATATGCCGAAAGCATTTCCATTCGATGATGTGTCATAATGCAATTCTTCTTTACCCAACTATTGTGTTGCTTTCGGTAACTTGGGGCTTTAGGTAGTGATAAACGTTGCTAGAACTATTGTACAGTCGCAGACCTTACCACGACAGTATATAAGCAAGTCAAACGCGGACCCCTTTCCTGTGGATTTGAGGAAATACCTCAAGTCTCCTCATCCATTAATGTATGCGCTAGGTAAAGGGGCGTGCATTTGCCTAGTACTGTCGCATTTATGGCCCATCATTCAACTTCAACTTCTCTTCAATTTTCACACAGCAGTACTCTAGCGGAACTATCAACCTATCCTCTTCAGAACTTTCTCTACCTAACAGCTCTGAAAATCGTAAAGTTCACGTATGAAGTAACAAAAAACACTTTGAATGTACTAGGGGCTGTTTTTCTGTTCGGGACGTAAATCCATTGCGGTCAGTTATTTGATCTATTGTAGTATCAAGAACAGTGTTCCCCCAAAAAGAGAGATTAATAGCGACCATGCAAATGGAAACCGCAACAATAGAGCACACCTAGCATGTGCAATTTTGCTTAAATGGTTAACAGATCAGTTCGTAATTTTCTTACAACGTGGCGCTAGAGTATCGTTAGATCCTGGGCATCGATAAAGATGTTGTTTTTGGCAAAGTTGTTCAGTGACCAAAACCTTCTAGATGGCAAGCAAATAAATTCCGATTTCTTTCACTAAAGGATGTCCCACATCAAATTGCATCACGGAAAAAACTCTGTAGCAAATTACCTAGTAGACCGATCCTTTTCAAAGTTTCGGGCAATAAAATATAAACCATTAGTAAGCTTTTGGCATATTTATTTCATTCAACTTCAATACCATAACCGTACGCTCGCACCTTACGCTTAACTCTACTCATTAGGTTCTGTACAACATCTGGCTGCAGCTTCTTTTATACGGAAACCCACTTTTCCTTCATGTCTTCCTTAGATTTGACCTCCTTGAGATGCTTCCTTAGTGCCTGCTTCATAATAGCGCAGTATTTTTCGATGGGTCTTAGTTCTAGTGCGTTGGAGGGTTTCATATCCTTGGGTACAAAAGTGACCCCGTTGGCTGCACTTTATACGTATGCAGTCCCTCCCGGTCCTTGGCTCTCTGAACGAAAGACTTGGACAGATTCAACTTTTTGGCCACATCCCTGACCGAAGCATTGGGATTCCGCTTAAAAGCTTTCACGACACACTTGTGATCCTGACAAGGGGTTGGTCACTCTACACAGTGAGCCAAAATCAAACTTGGGCACACCCGGGTGCAGTCATTGGCACTGTTTGGCACCCATGGTTACAATTTTTATGATCTTTAAAGTTACTGGCAACGCTGAACTTTTTCTGCGCCTGCTTACTTTGCATGTGTCAAAATTTGTTATTGATGTTGCCACAACATAATCAAATTATTTTCAAAACACAACCGTGAATCTCAACCAAGTCTCGCCATGGATTCTCACAATCGTGACACCCGTGACGGCAGTCGCGTCCACATTTTCTTGACCTGACCGAGGTTTCCGGCCATGGCTACACGAACTAGCGATGCAGCTCCCACGGCTGCGGCGGCTTCCAATACTGTCCGTCTTTTCTGACGAATTTTAGAGGAGACGGACGAAGGAACAGCAGCAGCAGCAACTAAAGCAGCAGCAGCTTTGGAAACAGCCGCAGCCGTGGGAGCTGCATCGTTAATTCGTGTAGCCGTGTCCGAAGCTGGAAATCTGGGGCCGGTCACGACAAACGGTGCTTGAGTATTAATCGGAAAGTCAACAACCAAACAAAAACTATTCCATCCGATCATTCGAACTGCTCGAATACATCCATGGCGGTGGCTGCTACACCAACCACTTCAAACTTTTTTTTTTTTTCAAACTTAAAATGATCTTTATTTCTTGTGTTTGTGTGGTTTACATTGATGAATTTTTCAAGTGACACAGATGCGTCTTTTCAACTTTAGTTCCTGTGAAATTTCAATTATTATTAATTACAGTTCCTAGTCCTATCAGGCCTGTTTTAGAGAATGACCACCTTGGTGGGATTGGTTTGCTTGAAAATTTGAAAAAGAAGACTACTTATAACTACTATTTACAACTACAACTAACCTACAACTACTATATACACCTAATCTACTATATACAAATTGCTTATCAAAGCATGTTCTGATAAATTACATTTTTGTGCAAATTTAGTCTTAATTTCGTTAATTCTGGAATCTATTTTGGCAATGCCTGCCTCTTCGTGTAAATTTGTTATTCTAGTGTCAAAAGGACGATCAAGTACCATCCTCAGCACTCTATTCTGAGCGACCTGGATTTTGTTCCTGTGAGTCTGTGCACATGATTCCCACACCGGAGCTGCGTAGAGGATCGCAGGTGCTATGATTTGTTTGTAGACGGCCAGTTTGTTCACCCTTGAGAGGCGGGATCTGCGGCAAATCAGCGGAAACAGACACCTAACCAAGGCAGAACACTTGACTACTGTTTTCTCTACATGCGAACGGAAGAGGAGCTTTTCATCGAACAACATCCCGAGATAGGTTACTTCGGCGGACCACTCAACCCTTGTGCCATCCATGATTACAGTACAAGATGGAGCCGGTTTCAGTTTGGGCGATTGCCGATGGAGGAACATGATCGCTTGTGTTTTGGTGGCATTGATTTTGATTTTCCACGTGGTGGCATAATCAGCAAAGGCGTTAAGGCATCGTTGAAGTTTGTTCGTTATTTCGCGAGGCATCCTTCCTTTGACGGCTATTGCGGTATCATCTGCGAACAGGAAAAACACGCAACCGTCACCGAGGGGAGGAATGTCGGAAGTGTAAATGCTGTAAAGCAAGGGGCCCAGCAGACTACCTTGCGGGACTCCTGCTGGGATCGAAAACGTGTCTGAGAGACAACCATTCAACGATACCTTAAACGACCTTTGCTGGAGGTAGTTACGGGTGATTTTAATAAGATGTAAAGGAAAGTTGAAGTTACAAAGCTTGTACACAAGTCCATCATGCCAAACATTGTCAAACGCCTTTTCAACGTCTAACAAGGCCATGGCTGTGGACTTGGATACAGCTTTGTTACTTCGGATGTTATTCATCACCCGTACTAGCTGATGATTGGTGGAGTGCCCCTTTCTGAATCCAAACTGTTCCGGAAGGAGAATGTTATTTTCCTCGACAAACTTGAGCAAACGATTGAGAATGAGTTTCTCGAACAATTTGCTCAGCACTGAAAGGAGGCTGATTGGTCTGTAGCTTGAAGGCAATGTTGGATCCTTACCGGGCTTGCGGATTGGTATGATTTTTGCTACTTTCCAGATGCTTGGAAAGTAGTGCAGTTCCAAACATCTGTTGAAGATAGCGGTTAGAAGAGACTGCACTTTCATGCTGAGTCTCTTCAAGATCAAGTTGAATATACCGTCAAACCCGGGAGCCTTCATGTTCTTGGTGCATTTCAGCGCTGAGCAAATTTGTTGTACTGTAATCATATCCGCCGGAGGCACGACACAAGGGGAGGCATCTAGGTTTTGAACGCATTGCGCAACCTGATCATCGAGCGGACTTTGGATAGTCGAGCCAAGCAAATGCGATGAAGCGACATGTTTGCCGATCGCATTTGCTTTCTCCTGTGGGGTAATTAAAAGCCGATCGTCATCATTTTCGACTTTGAGAGGTGGAACGGGTTTGGGATGATTTTTCAGGACCTTGGCTACCTTCCAGAATGGTCTGGAGCGGTCGTCCAGATTCTGGACAACACGCCCGAAACTTTCATTTCGGAGTGAGTCCATTCTGGAAGCAATCTGCCTGTTCAGATCGGGCATTTCACGTTTTTTTCCCAGGTCTCCAGTCCTCTGAAACTGGCGTCTACGCACATTTCTCAATCGAATCAATAATTGGGTGTGGGAATCAATAGCAACAAACTTACCCCTCACAGGAACTTGTCGAACGCATGTCTCGTCAGCCTCGGATATGGCCTGTTGGAGTCCTTCCAACGCCCGGTCGATGTCATCTACGGTGTCGAGTAGTGGATTTTCATCGATGTTGCTGTCCACCATTCGACCGTACTGCACCCAGTTGACATGGTGGTAGTCTTTACGCAGGCAGCCTCTAGCAGGAACCACGTTGACACCGACTTCAGTCACCACCGGTTGGTGGTCGGAGCTGAGATCGTTGTGCGCCTCCGGCTTGGATAGTCCGATGTTTGACAGGAAAAAGTCTAGCGTGGAGGGATTTCCCGCTGGAGAGATGAAAGTTGGCTCGTCCGGAAATTGCACTGTGTACAGTCCATGTTGTGCGTGGTCGAACAATAGACATCCGTTTCGATTCCTCTGGTAGTTCCGCCAAGCTTCATGGCGGGCGTTCAGGTCGCCCCCAACGATGAATCGGGAGCTAGTACGGGTGATGGCGGTCAGGTCCTTCTTGAATTGGATTCCTAATCCGTTGCTTGCGGTACACTGGCGTGGGCAGTAAACAGCGATGAACCGGACGTTTCCAGTTGGTGATTCCACCTCCACACTAATGGCCTCGATGATAGAAGTGCGGATGTGGGGCAGAGTGCAAAACTTGATTCCCTTTCTGACGATGACCGCTACACCACCCCCCTTGGAGCTGGTGCGATCAAGCCGGATAA